TCGGTTTTTTTCACTGGAGGAAGATGACGTACAGGTGGATCTGTTTGGTATCAGTGTTGTAATGTATTTGTTGTTGTATGTAATGGATTGAGATTGAATTATTAAGGGAAATGGGCTGCTAATATGAGGAGATGGCATCTTGGTTGTTGAATAATGGGCCTGTTTTTAATAGGCCCAAAATGGGTCCGAAAATGGGTTTGAGGCAAGGTGAAAAGGGTTATATCTTGGAGTTTAAGAAATAGTCAAATTGAGTTAAATTAACAAATTCGGCTAATAATTAGATATGACAAATTAATATAATTAATTAATGAACTTCTTAATCTTAACGAAATAAAATAATTAACTTAAAAATTAATTAATTCAAAAACATTAACTACAATTTAAACTAAGCTAATTTAATTAAATACTTACTAAAATTAAAATCTTTTTGAGATGATTTTCGAACATTTATAAAATATACTAATTATATGCATATATATTATTTAAAAAATAGTAAAAAAAGAGACAAAACTATTTCAAATAATTTGAAAAAAAATATTTTGATTTTTATAAAGTTAATTATTTCAAATCGTTTGGAATTTAAGAAGCTCGATGATTAATATATATTGTGGAGGTCCAAAATTGGGTGTCAACAAGAGGTAGGCCTAAGAAGTATTGGGGAGAGGTGATTAGACAGGACTTGGCTCAGCTTCACATTACAGAAGACATGACTCTAGATAGGAAGGAGTGGAGGTCTCGTATTAAGGTTGAAGGTTAGTAGGGCTAGCGTGTTGTCTCTCCTTGCAAGGGTAGGGGTTGTTAGCGTGCGTAGTAGTCCTAGTCTTGCACTTGCAGTTCTTGTCTGTGATATCGATAGCCTTTTGTTGTTTATTGCGTTTCACTTCTCTCATTGTTTATTGATGTCATTGTCTTCCTTTGTTGATTGTATATTATCTTTCGTATTGGATGGTATGTATATACACTGTCTTCCTCGCCTTTTACTTGGATTTGATGTACCTGAGCTGAGGGTCTTTCGGAAACAGCCTCTCTACCTTGCACGAGGTAGTGGCAAGGTCTGCGTACACTCTACCCTCCCCAGACCCCACCTAGTGGGATTTCACTGGGTATGTTGTTGTTGTTACTTGCTCTCTTCTAGCTCTGTGATTCCTCTTCTAGCTGATCTGTAATAAACCTATATGATCATTTTATGGGAGTAAAACCGTATGTCATTATGGAAGCATTTTTACTCTCTTGTTCCACTATCCAGTGAAATCTGATATACGCATGTCTGTTGCAAGTTATCAATTAGCAATTACAGAAATTGCTGAGTATGGAGGCAGATATGATGATGGAATGAACCTAAACAAAAAAAAGGAAAAAAAGATACCTTTACTCAATTTTTTGAACTCTTCTTTCTCCCAAAAAAAAAATAAAAAATCTTTGTACACTTGCTCTGTACATCTATGAACATCAATGTATATTGGTTAATTTGATGAGTGTTTCAGCTTCAGGAAGGCTTTGGAGATAAACTGAGATGGAAGCTAGGAATTGCTTCCGTGTATGCTTCTCGTAGGCTCTCCAACAACGCAAGGTTCTAATCTAGGAGTACAGAGCAACTGGAAACGTCTACATCAAGGTGATATTCGGTTGTTCTTATAACTAATAACTACCCATATTGGGTGGAGACAAGTTTTTCCCCAACTAAATATGGCACTATTGCAATATTAAACTAATCAGAAACAACCTCTCTATCTGTAAGAGGTAGGGGTAAAGTGTGCGTATACTCTACCCTCCTCACTTGTGGGATTGCACTTGGTATGTTGTTGTAGTTGGTACTCCCTTCATCAGTTTTTGCTTTAGTATAAGGGGAAAAAAGCTATTTCTTAGTCTATGGTTTGTAGTTTTAGCAAAAGTGCACATTGCTAACCATTGTCAATAAAACAACAGTGTATTGTACATTTTTGGGGTTGATACTACCAGGTTGGAGTTGTGCATGTTTTTGTAATTTTTTGCTTTGCCATTTTAAGTGAAGATATGAGAATCTCCAGAATAATAATAGCCTTCACTAGTGGCGGTCCAATTTTTTGGGATAGTGTTGTACATGGACCTAAATAGAGACTGATGATAATGTTTTGGAGAAGATGGCTGGAGTTGTCTTGACTTTGCAAATAACATTAATGTCTTTCATTTTTTGTAAAAAAATATGAATAGAGAAAAAATAAAACATATTTTTTCTTTCTATAATTGTCAACTATACAAACGTAGTAATGAATGATCAAACATAGTCTATAGTTGCAGAAAACATCTCCATCACTAGCTACCTCAGCTTATCTTATCTCTGGCAAGAATGTGAAAGAAAAAATGATATGTTGGCTGATGGAGGATTTCCAAGAAGATATTCTTGTCATCAAAGATGTGATCCTCTAAGATGAGAAGATATTCTTCATATCAAGATATGATCCTCTAAGATCTTAGTATAATTGTGGTAATCTAGAATATCATATCTCTGATTCTTTCTCTTAATGTAAAGATTTAGGTGATTCTATTCCACAATCTTTTATGTATATATAAAGCCATGTACATGACATAGAAAGATATGAATGAAATTATTCAATAATCTTATTCCACATGATATATTCAAAACTATAAGATGCTGGTAATTTCTGCTAAAGCACACAACTTCTTTATATTATTTAGCGATTAATACATAAAATAAAGTGTTATGTAGAGACTGTTTCAAGGTTAGAGTAATATCTTAGCACACCTAGGTTGTTATTTTAAGTACCTATTACTATCTCCAAAACACATACTGTACTAGAACTGCTAATGTTTGGTCCTTCTATTCTCAAACTCTGTAATATTTAAGGAAATTCAAGATTTGGATGTCATCAGGCAAAATTCGATAGTACTAATCAGTGTCATGATCCAAATATCATAGGTTGTAACCGACACTCGGCGACTTACTCTATTCTTAGGACTATTAATTTCATTTTATGACAAGAGAAAAGAATCTTGAAAATGATGTAGGCCTTTTCTTTTGTATGACTGGGAACTATACAAAAACAAGACAAACGTTGTAATGAATGATCCACAGTTGCGCAGACAAGGTTTGGGTGTTTAGTTAGGACGGGTTGGTTGATTGATTGGTGAGAATTGAATAGGATCATTTACTTTTGGCACAACTTGTGCTGTCTTATGTGGCCCCATGTTGTAGTCCATTCCCTTTCAATGACACAATAGAGCACAAGGTTGGAGAGAACTGATGTATACAAGTTCTAACAGATTTATGTTGTTGAATCTTTACTTAATAATCCTACTGAGTTAAAATATAAGTAGGCATTGGTAGTTTCTGCTAAAACACCTTTCATAGATCATACTTGTGGTTATTAGTGTAGCAATTAATTGGTAAAATAAAGCTTAATTATGGATAGACTACAAAAACACATACATACTAGAAATGCTAATGTGCTAACTCTGTCACTAAACATTAAGCTATAACATACGTGATCTTCCCCCAATTAGTTTTGGCACAACTTGTGCTGTCTTGGTCAACTTCTACACCCCTAACAAATGAGGCTTGGCAGTGAGTTGAGAAGCATAAATAGCCTACTGGAAACCAGCAACGACAGAATCCTTAATTTCATTCAGGTACTGGACTCCCTTAAACATATCAAGTCCTACCGAGGATCCAATGTCTAGGATTTCTCCCAAAAGCAAGTAGGAGTGCTCTTCCTTTCAAGCCTTCTGCCTGGTGGATCTACATACCCTGAGAATAGAAGCTAGAGAACCCAAGTCTGAGCCTAAGGCTGTTTTCTAAGCCTTCTATAGTTTTAACCCAAAAGGTGAAACAAAAATGAGGAATGACTTCTTATTCATGTGAAGGGATCTATTAACATATCTGTGTATGATGATGTCACAAGATCATACACAATACAAGTTAGGATTTTATCTCAGATTTCAATATTATTTTCCATATGACTGTCATCAATAAAAAAAATATATATGATAGAAAGATAACTTAATGGAAAAGGAAACAATATATCACATGATGAACCAATACAATCAAATCTCTCTATAATAACGTTATTTGTGAAGATTTTTTTTTACTGTTATAGTGAAATATTGTTGTAGATCTAACATATAACATAACATAATATGAAAAAATTGTGAAAGTGATGATCAAATCGTGTGTATGTTATTAAGGAATACCTGTGATGATTAAAACGAATGACACTCTGACTGATGTAAGACCTCTTTTTATCTCAGTAGCTTTTTATTTTTCGTTACTTCTCTTTGCTTGTTTGTTGATTAGTTTCCTTTATTAAATTGTTGTGTGCAGTGTGTAGTGTCTATTGCACTGTGAAGCCGAGGAATCATCTTCAGATCAGGATGATTTTGATGTTCGATGCAAAAAAGAAGGTGAAAAAATATTTCTATTCGGGTGGGAACACTATAAATGAAGTCTGGTATAGATAGCAATTGAAATAACTTGCTCCATGAAGTTGATAGCTTAATGTAATAATAATCAACTTGTGATCTTTTACCATGCACATATATGTTATCTGGAAGCTATTTCGTCTGTAGGAAATTTATCTCAATAGCAATTCATGTATTCTTGTTTCATATCTCACTCTCTATTCTTACTTGAAGATTTTACTTCATTTATTGCTTGAACTTCTATCTTAGTAGCAATTTCTCATTCCCAAGCTCTGTATATTGTACAGTTCAACCTTGATTTGGTCCGAGTAATTGCTTGCAGTAGAAGGATTAGTCAGCCTGTATATTTGATGCTACTAGTTTAATGCTTGGCTGTATTAACATTCAATTGTTCTACCAAGTTCGTCAGCTTAATATTTTCATTTAATTGGACTACTTTCAGGTTTTCTTCCAACATATGAGAGGAGTATTGCTTAAAAATGCTATTTCCTTTTTTCGAGTGAGTTGTGAAAGGTACTTTCTCGTTTCACTGGAATTTGACACTAGTACTTTTCTTTTATCAAACTATGATGGAAATATTGAGCAAACTTTTGTACAAGGAGTTTCTCCTATAGCTCGTTGAGATCGTTTCTATTTATTTCTGTTCTGTCAGCATTCAACAAAGTACAATGTTTGATTGACCAGTTTCTCTGCTCCATTTTGAGAATGATTTGGCAAGATACAATGTCATTTCCTCATCGAGATTCTTTCAGTAATAGCTGAAGTTTGCCACCAGAACCAATGCATGCATTCCTTCCATCTCTCGAAAGAATGGTAGGCATTTCATTCTCAGAAAAAGGGATATTTTTTGTGTATAATACTCTGATGGTTGTTGTTCACTGCTTCAGCTGCACTTCAAAATTGTGTAAACATGTCAACCGCGAGATTTCCTTCCAGCTGTATGTTTAAAATGTGCTCCTCTGGCTCAAAGGAAACCTGCTTAAAACGTTTGGCTTGAAATGCTGAACCTGCATTTAGACCAGCATTGTTACAAGGTCAAGTTGGTATGTCCAGATGGTGTCGTTCACGAGTTTGGTAATACTTCCATCCTCTATATTGCTCTGTTGTGCGCGAGTTTGAAGCACCAGATGGAAGTTTATTTTGTATACATATATAAAAAGTGATATTATTTCAAGTTATGCCTGTGATCTTAGTTAAGGTGAAGCAGCAAATATTGCTATATATGTTGTCCTTAAAAATTAGTTTAGTGTAATTACGAAAGACAAAGTTGGACCTCTTTATAATGACGGGCATTTTTTGGCTGCGATAATGAAATGATTGTTATTGTTACGCACCATAATAACATTTAGATCTTAATTGAAAAGAAATATGCAAGAAGTAATTTTCCTCCAACTTTTTATGTTATAGAAAACAAAATGATTAAAAGGGCTCAAACTGGGTGCCTTTCTGCTTGGGCTATCTTTTCGTATGTATTTGATTTTATCAAATAAAGAGAAAATTATAAAAAGAATACTTTTTTTAAATCATTAATTTCAAGAAAAAAACAAACCTACGCAAAGAAAACAATTAGTAGGGAGTTTCTGGTAATTTTATAAAGCTAATGCTACTTGATTGTAGAGACCAATTAGTAGGAAATCAATTGACATTTTTAAAAAATAAATTAAAATGTTGAAAACAAGACAATTGTAGTGGTTAAATTTCAACTTCAAAGAGGCACCTTCTATGAAAAAATATTTTAAAAACAAATTTGTTATAACTACGTTCTTGTCCTGGAGTGCAAATTTCTATAAAAAAAAAAATAAAAAAAATAAAGAAGAAAAATGAAGAAGATAAGGGTAGAAAACATTGTAATTGAAAACTTGTAATTTTTTCTAATCCAAGCCATACTACCTTGTAATATAATACTTATCATAGTCAATCCCTAGTAGTGTTAATTATATATATATATATTATAATTTTCCGTCTCATTCATCATCAATCAAATATGTTATAATATATGTAGTTAAAAAATGCATGTTTACTATGACATGCTTGTCTACTTCAATTTTATACAAGTTTAAGTGTATTCTTGTGCACATCTAATGTTGGAGAAAATAAATATCAGCTGAAACCAAATTAAATGACATGTTTATGTAAATGTCATTTTAATATTATAATCTTAGCAAATTGTGGAGACCAAAAATGCAATTAGTACGTATGAAGGTCAAAGAATCAGGATCTAATTAACTTTCCCCCCGTAACACTTCTGAATGGTCAAAATCCATGTAAAGTCTACAAGAAAAAAATAAAAACAATAACAAAATAGTGTAATAATTGAAACACAATAAACAATCGATGGTGATGCAGATATTCACTGACTTGTCATATCCATCAAAACTATTTGTGTACAATCCCATAACGATCTCCCAAAGGAGAGGGAACAGCTACCATTTTTAGAGAAACATTTTGCGTGTGTTTCAAGCGTTCAATTCGGTGTTCGTTATTCATATTATCATATCTTCATTCTTCATATAATTTTATGATCTTGGTATATATTTTCAACAGTTTTTAGGTTTTGTAGATGTTGACATTTATGTTACTGTATTAAAGTTTTGTATGAAAGAGATATGGTATCTCAGATAGCATATATTGCAAGAAAATAGTTTAAACAGTTTGTTGGAGTGTATCTGTCATATTACCAGCATTGATGTTGAGTGTTGGATTTTAAGCATTTTAATATTACTTTCAATATGAGGAGTGACAGAGAGAGTTTAGTTGTACGACATTGTTGGGTTATTGTATCGTGGAGGGGACAAGTCAAGAGTTATACTGCTTCATTGATGTAGATTATGCCACAGTAAGCTTGAATCTCCTTGAAGAGAGCGAGATATTTGTGAAATTTTAGTGCCAAATTGGAAGTCTCAGTTCAAGCAAAAGCGACAAGTTGTGCAAAACAGGCAGTCAACAAAACTTACTTGTCATATTTCTCTAGGTAAGAGAAAACTCTAAGTCGAGAAAATTTTAACATAGAAACATTAATCATCTCCAAATTCATAATCATTTTGTGATTCTTTGTTTTGCATTTCAGAAATGGATATTGGCTTAGCTGTTGGTGGTGCATTTCTCTCTTCAGCTTTGAATGTTCTCTTTGATAGGCTTGCTCCTAACGGTGAGCTGATGAAGATGTTTCAGAGGGACAAGCATGATGTTCGGCTTTTAAAGAAGCTGAGGATGACTTTGCTTGCTCTTCAGGCTGTGCTAAGTGATGCAGAGAACAAGCAGACATCAAATCCATATGTGAGTCAGTGGCTTAGTGAGTTTCGAGATGCTGTGGATGGTGCTGAAAACTTAATAGAAGAAGTCAACTATGAAGCTCTGAGACTTAAGGTGGAAGGTCAGCATCAAAATCTTGCAGAAACAATCAACAAGCAAGTTATTACCATAAAGGAGAAGTTGGAAGAGACCATTGAAACATTGGAGGAGTTGCAAAAGCAAATTGGTTTCCTTGATCTAGCAAAGTATCTTGATTCAGATAAACAAGAAAAAAGGACATTTTCAACTTCTGTGGTTGATGAATCTGATATCTTTGGTAGGCAAAATGAAATAGAGGAATTGATTGACCGTTTATTGTCAGAGGATGCAAATGGAAAAAATCTTACTGTAGTTCCTATTGTAGGAATGGGGGGTGTTGGCAAGACAACACTTGCTAAAGCTGTTTACAATGATGAGAAAGTGAAAAACCATTTTAATTTGAAAGCTTGGTTTTGTGTATCTGAACCATATGACGCTCTCAGAATAACAAAAGGGTTACTTCAAGAAATTGGCTCATTTGACTCGAAGGCTGATAGCAATCTTAATCAGCTACAGGTCAAATTGAAGGAAATCCTAAAGGGAAAAAGGTTTCTTATTGTCCTAGATGATATGTGGAATGATAACTATAATGAGTGGGATGACTTGAGAAATCTTTTTGTAAAAGGAGATGTAGGAAGTAAGATCATTGTGACAACACGTAAAGAAAGTGTTGCCTTGGTGATGGGTAAGGAGCAAATTAGCATGGAAATTTTGTCTAGTGAAGTTTCTTGGTCTTTATTTAAAAGACATGCATTTGAATACATGGATCCTGAGGAACAACGAGAATTTAAAAAGGTCGGAAAACAAATTGAAGCTAAGTGCAAAGGACTGCCTTTAGCTCTGAAGACGCTCGCTGGCATGTTACGCTCCAAATCAGAGGTTGAAGGGTGGAAACGTATTTTGAGAAGTGAAATGTGGGAGCTTCCAGACAATGACATATTACCAGCGTTGATGTTGAGCTACAATGATCTTCCTGCACATTTAAAGCAATGTTTTTCTTATTGTGCAATCTTTCCCAAAGATTATCCATTTCGGAAAGAACAAGTCATTCAGCTGTGGATTGCTAATGGTCTATTAAAGGGGTTGCAAAAAGATGAAACAATTGAAGACTTAGGCAACCTATACTTTCTCGAGTTGAGATCAAGATCACTTTTCGAAAGGGTCCGGGAGTCTTCTAAAAGGAATGAAGAGGAATTCTTAATGCATGACCTTATCAATGATCTGGCCCAAGTTGCATCTTCAAAACTTTGTATCAGGTTGGAAGATAACGAAGGATCTCATATGTTGGAAAAATGTCGACACCTGTCATATTCATTGGGAGATGGTGTCTTTGAGAAGTTGAAACCACTCTACAAATCAAAGCAGCTGAGGACATTGCTTCCAATCAATATCCAGCGTGGGTACTCATTTCCTTTAAGCAAGAGGGTGTTGTATAACATATTGCCAAGACTAACATCCTTAAGGGCTTTATCATTGTCTCATTATCGGATTAAGGAGTTGCCGAATGACTTGTTTATCACATTAAAACTCCTAAGAATTTTGGACCTTTCTCAGACGGCGATAAGAAAGTTACCAGATTCCATATGTGCATTGTATAACTTGGAGATACTTCTCTTGTCTTCTTGTATATATCTTGAGGAGTTACCGCCGCATATGGAAAAGTTGATCAACTTGCGTCACCTTGACACTACTGGCACTTCTCTCTTGAAGATGCCACTACATCCAAGCAAGTTGAAAAACCTCCATGTACTAGTAGGATTTAAGTTTATTCTAGGTGGCTGCAATGATTTGAGAATGGTAGATTTAGGTGAACTACACAATTTGCATGGATCTATATCAGTTCTAGAGTTGCAAAATGTGGTTGATAGAAGGGAAGCTCTGAATGCAAACATGATGAAAAAGGAACATGTTGAGATGCTGTCGTTGGAGTGGAGTGAGAGTATTGCTGACAGTTCACAAACTGAAGGAGACATACTCGATAAACTACAACCAAATACAAACATAAAGGAACTGGAAATCGCTGGATATAGAGGGACAAAATTTCCGAATTGGATGGCTGATCATTCATTTCTTAAGCTGGTGGGAGTGTCTCTTAGCAATTGCAACAACTGTGCTTCCTTGCCAGCACTAGGACAACTTCCTTCTTTGAAATTCCTTACCGTTAAAGGGATGCATCGAATAACAGAAGTGAGTGAAGAGTTCTACGGTACGTTGTCATCCAAAAAGCCATTTAACTCTCTTGAGAAGCTTGAATTTGCAGAGATGCCAGAGTGGAAGCAGTGGCATGTACTGGGGAAGGGAGAGTTCCCTGCACTTCATGACTTTTTAATTGAAGATTGCCCCAAGCTGATTGGGAAGTTGCCTGAAAAACTTTGCTCTCTGAGAGGATTGAGAATTTCAAAATGTCCTGAACTCAGTCCGGAGACACTTATCCAACTTTCAAATTTGAAAGAGTTTAAAGTTGTAGCTTCTCCTAAAGTTGGAGTTCTTTTTGATGATGCTCAACTGTTTACATCTCAACTTCAGGGAATGAAACAGATTGTTGAATTATGTATTCATGATTGTCACTCTCTTACCTTCTTACCGATTAGCATTCTTCCGAGTACCTTGAAGAAAATAGAGATATATCATTGCAGGAAACTGAAATTGGAGGCGTCAATGATTTCTAGAGGAGATTGTAACATGTTTCTGGAGAATTTGGTAATATATGGATGTGATTCTATAGATGATATATCACCAGAGTTTGTCCCAAGATCACAGTATTTGAGTGTAAACAGTTGCCTCAACCTTACTAGGCTTTTGATTCCTACTGAGACTGAAAAACTCTATATTTGGCATTGTAAGAATCTTGAAATACTTTCAGTGGCATCTGGAACTCAGACGATGTTGCGTAATTTGAGTATTCGTGACTGTGAGAAGCTGAAGTGGCTGCCAGAATGTATGCAGGAACTCATTCCATCTCTTAAGGAACTAGAACTATGGTTTTGTACAGAAATAGTGTCCTTTCCTGAAGGAGGATTGCCCTTCAATTTACAAGTCCTTAGGATCCACTATTGTAAGAAACTGGTGAATGCGCGAAAGGGGTGGCATTTACAGAGACTCCCCTGTCTCAGAGAGTTAACCATCTTACATGATCGCAGTGACCTTGCTGGTGAAAACTGGGAGTTGCCTTGCTCTATTCGAAGGCTTACCATATCCAATCTGAAAACATTAAGCAGCCAACTTTTCAAAAGTCTTACCTCCCTTGAATATTTATCTACTGGTAACTCACTTCAAATTCAGTCACTGCTGGAAGAAGGGCTTCCCACCTCTCTTTCTCGTCTAACGTTATTTGGCAATCATGAGCTCCATTCCCTACCGATTGAAGGTCTACGACAACTCACTTCACTTCGGGATCTATTCATCTCTTCATGTGATCAACTCCAATCTATTCCAGAATCAGCACTGCCCTCCTCCCTCTCTGCGCTGACCATCCAGAATTGCCATAAACTCCAATACCTTCCGGTAAAAGGGATGCCCACTTCAATCTCTTCACTATCTATTTACGACTGTCCATTGCTCAAACCACTCCTTGAATTTGACAAAGGAGAATACTGGCAAAAAATTGCTCATATTTCCACCATAAATATTGATGGGGAATACCAATAATGGTGTGAAGTGGTGTCCACCTCTGTACCATCATCTGCCTTGGGACAACAAACTTTGCTAACTGAGAGTAGCGCAAAGGCAAGACTGACTCAGGATTGCTTTAAGCCTCACCCTTTGGATTGATGGTTACTTAATCTGGTATGCACAATTACTTAAATGGTTACTTATTTAAGCCATGTCATATATGTATCGCGTTGATTTCAAGTTTAATGTGACTACATTAGATAGCAAATACTGAACTTCTGTCAATATTTGGATCTTTAGCACAATAGCTTTTGTGGTTGTGTGTATAAAAACCGAAAAACTGAAACTAAAAACCTGACTAACCTGTACTTGTTTGTAATTGATGTAGCTTATGCATACTTGGTGAATTGACCAGGTTTGGTGCTTATCCCTCACCCACACTCAGATCGATCAGATCCTCAGCTTTTGGATTGATGATCACTTCATCTGGTATGCCCATGATATCCATTGAATTGACCAAGTTTGATTCATAATCCCAGTCTTGAGTTTTCATCTGTCTATTGAAGGACATGCTTTATTCATCTTGAAATGTTCAATCAATTGTGAAATCACTAGGAAGAACACAAATGTTCACAAAAATGAAATCTCTATGAGGTAGCTTTTGTTCTTCTACGTGCATCTATTGGCATTTTTGAAAAGTTCGAGTAAGATTGGTTATACACAAGTACAGTCTAGTGAACTGCAGATGGCTCTGTCCAATATCAAGAGGAAGCACCAGCCTCAATGCACATAATTATAATACACTACCAAACGACCTTTTTATGTCTCACTATATTCAAGTGATATTTTCGGTCACTCAATTGACACGACAATATTTTATCATTGAAAATAATATCTCTACGTTCATAAGGTAGGAGTAAGATTTGAGTACACATCACCCTCTTCATTCGTCTCGCTTTAATTAAAATGAATACTCATATGACTAGTGTTCCTATGGAATAAACTTAAAGTACTTCGACAACTCTACCAAGGCTCGAACTCAAAATTTTTAATCAGAAATCAACAAATGTTTTCCATAGAACATCTTCTTGCAATCTAGGGGTACTCATTATTCACTATATAGCAAGTATGATGTTGTGTAGCGTTGATTGATTTCAAGTTTGATAGCAAATACTGAGGTTTTTTCAGTTTTTGGATCTTTAACACAACAGTCAAAAACAACATTTCTTTAATGCTTGATGTAGATATTGATTTATTGATTGTTAATTATATTATTGATTCAATTATCAAGTTAATCATTAAGATTTCACAAAAAAAAATAATCAATAACTGAAAAATAAAATCTACCATACACATGAATTGACAACTTACCGATAACCTAGTAACATTTTCTCGATTCAATTTTAAACAACCCTACTTAAAATATTGTGATATTTCCATCTTATAAACAAATTTAATATCATCTTATAAACAAAATTAATTTATGACCCACTTATACTAGGTGGCAAAAACATTGCCCAGCAAGCTCTTCGAAATGAAGCTACTTTTTTTTAAAAATAAATAAAAATACTTTAGCCATAATAATAAAAATTATTAGGTACTTCAAAATTCATAAATAGAAATTATCAAGAGGACAAATAAACAGAGACAAAAGGAGAAAAACTAATTTGTTCTTATTCACAAAAAGACAGCAAGGAAGCAGTAACACATACAAAATGAACAAAAAACTTCAAAATAAATCTAAGCAAATCCCATCATCATGTCATTGCCTAAGCTCTTAATCACTTCTGGTATCTTCATCACATCCTTCATCTTCTCCTTCTCTTTTCCCTTCTCTCCTCTTTCTCCCTCTTCCTCCTCCCCCCTCGGATCCATCGGCTCCGAGGGAGCAACCGACGCTGACGGAAAAATTACCGCCTCACGCTGAGCATCCAAAATCTTCCTTAACCTCTCTTCACTAACACCAAATGCAGCTGCAAATTCAGGTCCTCTCATGCTCTGAAGTATCGAATTCTGACCCACCAAGAACTGTGGCATGTTCTTCCTTGCTGTCGTCGTGAATCCAAAGAACTCGAACGGTCCTGTCCTTGATGCAATTTGACAGAAGGGGAAGTACCTTGGCACCCAGAATACATCTCCTTCGTTTACTATAGCGTTCATTGCTAATGTCCCGTTTGGATACACGATTTGGATGCTGCCACTTCCTCTCAACACTATTCCATACTCTGTTGCTGTTGGATTAATGTGTGGTGCCATCATAGCTCCCTACATGTAAAAACATAGTAGTACTATGTAAAGACTTATAGCTTAATTCAGGAATCCTAACAAAAAAATCAAAATCCATAAATATTGGAACTAGGATATGAAGAAACTCAACAACGTGGCATCTACGATTCAAACTGTGACCTAAAACAAAGTTTTGAACCCTTAACACTACATTTACCATACCACTAAACATAAAGCTCCCTTATCTGAGGGGGATTCAAAATAGTTTACTTGTATACAAAAATAAATGTCCTGTTTGTCCGTCGCACCATGGTGCGACAATTTTCGCAAGGAAAGAATTCAGTTGCATTCCCTTCATGCAACTTAGCCTCCACCATAGGTTATAGCGGATCAAGGTCAGTTTAGTGATCACAAACTGTGGTGGATGCTTAGTACGGACGCTGTAGTGGATAAAGTTCAGTGATCACAGGCGCTATAGTGGATAAAGTTTAGTGATCACACGTGGAACCAACATTACTAATCCTATGAGAACAATAGACATGGATCAAACATCATATTTTATAAGAATGGTGTATGGTGTAGGTGAGTTACCGCTGAAAGATTGACGAGGTAGACGCCAATGTCAGAGTGTTTCAATGGAGAATACTCAGATTGATCCAAGGCCAAGCTCCATCCATAATCATTCTTGTAATCTGGCTTTCTATCAAACAGGTTGTAGGAATCTGGACCTTTGCCGCTGCCTCTACGTCCTTCATCACCTTTCTTTCTTTTATTTCCTTCATGACCAAAAAGATTATTCATAAACTTCCTCAAAGACCATGTTGGCTGTTGCTCCCTTTCCTCATCTTCTTCTTCAAAATTAGCTTCTTCCTCCAAATGCACTACTCTCTTTAGGTGATCATGTCTCTGGTGCTGCTCAAGATTCAAGAAATTGGCCCATATGCTTGGTGTAGGAGACTGAGTAGTGTTCAGAGGTACAATTGCACCAGAAAGTTGTCTTGTCAAGATCTCACTCACTTCTTCAGATGATACCTGTCATGTGTAACACATCTTGAAATTAACTACTTCTATTCCTTTGATAAATATACTTTGAATCATCTACTTAAGGTTCTCAAAATTGAACGGATTTTAAAGTTGCCGAGTTCATATCTATCATTCTTTGCCTTAATACAATAACAACAACATAGCCAATAGCCAATGTAATCCCACAAGTTAGTTTTCATATCTCTCATTCTTTGCCTTAATACAATAACAACAACATAGCCAATAGCCAATGTAATCCCACAAGTTAGTTTGGAGAGGATAGTGTACCAGTCCTTACCCTTACCTCTTTTTCTTTTTTTAACAACTCAAAAGAGGGATGCAACACGAGGACTTCTTACCCCTACCTCCTCCCAGAGGTACAGAGATTGTTTCCTAGAGAAACCGTCACAGAAATTCGTTGCATTTTTAGTGAATTTTTACAATGTTCCGAGAACATTGGTACTAAGTTCAGATAAACACGATAACAGATTAACAGTAAACTCTACCTATAAGTTATCATCACTTACATTGAATGCTGTTGATAATGTAAGAGTGTCAAATCCACTAAGAATAGATGTTGGATAGATTCCACCACCAATGAAGAAAGACTGCAAGGAAATTTGTTAATTGTAACTCACAACATTCGATAGTCAAAGATCCAGTTTTTTTAACAAGAAATTGCAAAAAGGTACCTGAAAACCATACAATCCTAAGGTGTCGGAGTTGCTAATGCTGCAAATGATATGAAGTCTTTGCCCTTCAGCTGGATTAACCAGATAAAAAGCAGATCCTGCATGAATGCTGTATACATCTCCTTCCTTCAATCGCCTTTCAGTAAAGTCATCCTTGTAGATATGCCCAATTCTTGTTTCCCCTGCAGTCTCAACACACTTAATTCATTTCTCCAACTATTTTTCTTACTAAAAAAGAAACAATCTTACAAGAACCATGAAAAATCCTCTGTTTAATGAGTAAATATTCCTTGAGAGAAAGTGTCTTTGGAGCAAGAATAAGAGTTTTCATTGTCATTTTACAAGCACATCACGAGTTCAAACTGTGAAAACCTGTAAACTATTTTATTATATAAATGCAAGATAAATTGAATAAAATAAACCCAATGTTGTCTGATCCTTCCCATACATAGGAAGATATATATGTTCTTAGGGAAAGGTTGAATTAAAACCATTAATTTTTTATTTAACCATATACATATATGTGAAAATCATGGAACATTAGTGAAAATTCAAATTTTGATCTCATGTTTTCCAATAACTTGTTATTATAACTATACACCAGGGATGGGGAAGTGAAACACAAGGAGCGAGGGGTGAACCTCACAGTGAAAATTCAGATAGCCAACTAACTCGACTACTATAATTTTTTCCCAACAGATTGAAAACCAAAACTAATAAATCTTGAATTTGGCAGCTGATGAGTACACGAGATTAATCCTTTCTTTCCTTATACTAGAGAACCATTAGAACAGAACCAAGAAAAAGCTGAAAACTTAACCTCATATTTTCTAAGAAATTGAACCTATGAAATATAGCCAACTAACTCCACTCCTATAATTCCCCCGAGAAAATTGAAAACCAACACTAAAACTTGAATTTACCAGCTAATGAGTACACAAAATTGCTCCTTTTTTTTTTATTATACAAGAACCATAAGAACAAAACCAAGAAAAGCTGAAAACTTCACCTCATGTTTTCCAAGAATTCAAACCTGTGAAAATTCAATAGCCAACTAACTCTGACCCCTGATAATTTCCCAAGAAAATTGACAAC